TGACAAGATTCTTGTGATCAATACTACTTGCTCCTCTCTCTGACATGCACATGATGCTTGTGGCAGTGGGTGAAATGTGTAGAGGAGATGCTCCAGTTTTTGTTGCTGCATCACGTGAGTGAATTTAACATTCAGGGATTTGGGTTGTGACCCAAGATGATTAATCATTTCCTTTCCTTTTTGTGAGATTTCTGGTTATGTGATAAAACCCAACTCTCTCTGAGCTATTTCCCCCACTAGTTTGGTTCAGTATGTTTTCTCTAAAAATTCAAGTACTAGGCATTTTATAACAGTAATTGATCCCTGCTTTTTCCATTTTCCATTAGTTTGAGATTTATTAGAATTCAACACAAATGACTTTTGTAGTTTGACCTGTAGTCTAATTATTCTGGGCTGTGATTTTTGTACATTTAAAGATCGGCTTATTCCTGCTGGTAGAGTGGTAACATCAGATACATACCTTTATTCCCATCATGAGACCTTGTGATGGGCATATTGCTCATTACTGCACACATGATCTATCATTTCCAATGAGAGAAATGTCTCAGTAGTGTCAAGTAATAGCAAGCAACACAATTATGAGATTAATTCCAGTCAGTGCTATATAGTTAGTCAAGCTGTCTGTTCAAGTGGTTTAAAATTAGGGGGTACACTGATAACTAGTTGATATCAGGAAGAAAGTTCACCCTCATGCAATAAGGCAGTTCTACACTTCCCTCAGCAGCACCCATATTAGGAGTAGGATAGTAGAGTGGTTATAATACTGCATGACTCAGTTTACTTCATTAACCTGTGCACAGAGGATGAAGGTTTAAGTTCTACATCTGGCTTTGTGCAGGAAAAAAAAAGATAGTCCTTTAGCATCAACATAGTCTTGTATGTCTTTGTTGATATATCAACAAAGGTTGAGATGCCCAACACCCAGAAGGTATCCAAAGGTGATAAACATTTCAAGGGGAGATCTGGCTGGAAAAAAAGAAGCCTTGGCAACTCATAGCTAGAAGAGTCTGGGGCTGAGAGAAATAGAGGAGCTTTAGGGAGTTAGAGAGATTGGAAAGAGAACAGCTAAGTGTCTTTGGGGTTGCTCACTGCTGTTCAGGCTGCTTAACCCCATTGGAGGGGACAGAACCTCTGACCTGGATGGTCTTTCCCCAATAAATGCCTTTAATTAATAGACCATCTTCTGTATGGCTTGGAACTGTAGGTTTCCCTGGGTTGCTCCAATAGGAGGTGAAATGCCTTTCTCAGGAGCAGAATTAGGTGCTAGTTACTTAAGTCACAGACACAGAGAACCAGGGCACTTGAGAGAGAGAGACTGGGGTCTCAGAGTGGGAAGGAGCCCGGGCTTCCTGCTTGCTTTAGAAGCCGAGACTCAGCAGGCTTCGGGGGATTCTCTCAGAGACCAGATGAGGCCATAGTAGCCTGGAGGGACCTCTGTGACTGGATTTTAATTTGGAAAATCAGTGTCCACCTTTAGATAACTCCAAAATGATTTGTTTTTTTCTTTAAAGGTATCTACCAATAAACACTTACCAGCAATTCAGTGGTACACCAAGGTGTGCAGGACTTGGATATAAATTTGAAAGAAAATCCAAATCTCTTTCAGATTTCTTTGTCAGGTTACTGGTACCTTCAAATTTGAGACCCATGCTGCAATTTGAGAGAATAACCAGTTCTGTGAACTCTTTTTTATGGATTTTAATAAAAAGAATGAGCAAGTAAAAAAATCATTAAAGCTAGTATATTACTAAGATAATATGAATCAGTTTCACTAAACTAATTAAAGATGGCACAATGTGGTAACTAATGAGGTCACAATTAAGAGTGACTTAATAAATCCATGAGTTCAAATTATCACAGCTCCAAATTAACACAACCGGTAATCAAATTGAATGATGAGGTTGACTTAACACTAGAAGAAATTACTTTGCATTAGTTTAATATCTTGACAGAAGTTAAGGAAGAGTCAGATTCCTTTCTATTTAATACTCCAGCAAGGGTACCTGTATTAACTTACCTGTTGAAGGGCATAGGCATTCGTTCATCTGTCACCTATGCCCAAGGACAGAAATTACACATAAACCTATATAAGTAACTGGAAACCAGTTCAAATCTGGAACACAACAGAAGTTCAGTGCGCATAAACCTCTTTCAAAATGGCTGAACCCAGTTTAAGATATACCTGGGTGGATGTAGTATCAGACTAAACTGATTTAGGTTAACTCAGTTTATTGAACTTCTATCCCAGATCCCCTCCAGATTCAAGTGAGCTCACATCCCCCTGCAACTCCTCCTCCCCCTCCCCACCTTCAGGGTGGCCAGGCTAGCCTTGGCCCAAGCTGTCTGCTCCAGCCAAGCAGGGAAGCATACTCTAGCATCCTCTGGCTTCTGGCCTAGGCTGCTGCAGGCATGTGGCTGCATTTCTGGAATCAAAAGTGAATGTCTGTTCACTTGCTTATTGATTCAATCTACACAGCTTAGAGTAACCTGCAAAGATTGAATTGATTCAGCCTCAGGCGTTTTGACTGCCTGTACTTAACCTATTTGTCTGTTCTGCTTTTTAGTTCTGACCAAGGGAAATTGCCCAATATAGGTGAAGTCACCTATTTTGTCTTAAGCAACCACACCTTTGCAAATAACATAAAACTTATCCACTGACCTAAGACATAAGATGGTTAAATTTTACAGAATAGCAGCTTTGGAACACTACGTTTTAACCTGAAAAAATATACCAACTGATTCAATTACAGGTTGGTGGTTACTTTCAGGTAAGGTGTGTTTCCTGCCTTAAGACACATGTATGCTAATGAAAAAAAAAATTAAATGAAGGCATCCCTTTTTAAAAGTGGTTGGAGTTTTTTCCATTTTCATTTCTTGGTATTTTTTAACTAACATGTTTGTTATTTGTTAATTAAAACTAAGTTTTATTCAGAATTTATAATACATGCGATAATCTCTCATTAGGTCCCAGAGTGTTTAAGCTGGCCTTGCTTAAGTCTTTCTGTTTTTCCTCCTCTAAACAGCCTGTACAGGAAAGGGAGAAGCATGTAGCCTCAGAGAGAAGGCTGTCTATCTTCTACATAATCTTAATTTTTATAGTCATTTCCCATTTTCTCTGCCTTAGAGACAATATTTTTGTGTCTTTGGGGCCAGGTCAGTCACCACAGTGGGCAATCTTTAGGCCTTGGGTCCTGGCTGAAAGTTCCATAACCCAATGATCCTTGCTTTTGCAAAGTTAGTAGAATCAGATATCCTTCCAAAAGTTTTTTTAAAAAAGGATATAAAATGGGTGTTTGCGAGGACCTTTCAGCTGAGGTGATGAACACTGAGATCCACAACCACTAAAATGAATCAAACTGATAAATTGGCAAAATCCATCAAAAATATCTAATCCACATATTCTCTCTGTGTATGCATTCTTGTCATGATGCTGACGGCATTGTTTCCTGAACTAGTTCAGACTGGAGTTCACAAAGTATAGGGAATTGATGTAAATTCATCATTTGTTCTAATGACATTGGCCTAAAAACTCTATAAAGCTGTTTTATATTTATCAGAATAGATTGTTTTCATAATTAAACAATTAACGTTTCCTCAGGTTCAAGTAACGTTAGACCCAGAGGTAGAGTGGTCACCTCAAAACCCTAGGCCCTACTGCCTTGTGGGTGCTCCTGGGTTGGAGGAAAGCTAAGGAACTTCATCCTGACAGAAACACACCCTTGCTGAGACATTAGGCAGTCAGCAGCAGTTCTTATCGGTTGTTCTCTGGCAGAAATGACAACCATCAAGGCTCTGAACATCTGGCTCCAGTCTGGCCTTTGAATTCTGTCTCAATGGTCTAACAGGGGGCAGTAGGTCTTGGGCAGACTCTGCTTTTCCATATGTTTGCCTAGGCATACGCATCAAAGGTCTTGATGTGATGGTCTCAGGACTTCATACAAGCAGATCCATCAGGCACTTGACTAAATCTCTTACGTGTACACCATGATCCAGAAGATCGATGGTTGCCTACTATAGTGTGTTAGTAGAAAAGTGATTTCATCCCTCGCACAGTGGCCAGTGTAACATTGCAATAAATTTTAATAGGGCGTGTGCACTAGGTATGTTTACTTAATCTTTTTACCAGTTTTACTGTAGGGTGAACATATTCACATATATTTTCAACATGCTTCGAAAAATCCTAAGCAATTTTATTAGGAAGTTGAAAATATACTTCTATAACTGCAAGTCTGATTAGTGGCCATGGGAGAAAGAGCTGAAGGTGCCTCCGGCTGTTAGCATAATATAAAACTCCAGCTTGCAGTCAGTGGGGGCAAGGGCACCTTGCCAGATCAGGTTCTTTCAAAATTGATGAAAGCATTACCCCAACTTTATCTCTCCCATGCTTCTCCCTTCCCTGAGCAGCATTAAGCCTCATCCTGATCCTTGGTTTCTTTTATGCTTTTCCATGATCATTCCCTTCATCCCTTTCAACTGTTTCTGACTTTGTACCCCTTGAAAACCACATCTTATTCTTGGAACAGCTTAACTAATCCACAGCAGTCTCTTCCCCTCACTTTCAATTGAAGTCCTCTTTCAGTTGAAGCACTCAGGTCTGAGACCACGTACCATTCTATTCCTTATTGAACTGTATTGCAATAAGATGTGTATGTTCATATGTAAGCTTTCTGAGACAAATAATTGTGTGTTTAGCCCAGTTTTACTTATAGCACCCTACAATGCTTTGTATATAGCACTGGGTAATCCTTTATATGTAACAATGGATTACTTTCTAATATAAGCTAAATAATTTTGTATTTGCTGTTATTTTTTTAAACCCTGCTAGAAGGCTGAGCACAATCCTCAAGGCCAAATTCATTACTAGTTTAACACCATTTACTTCAACAGAGAAATCAGGACTGAATTTAGCCACTTAGCTCTTTCTGCCTACTGAACTCTCTCAACCTGAAAAAAAAAAATTACTGTTTGAGGCTGTATGTAAGATTGTGTGTGTTTTTAAGGAAACAAGAGGAAATCCCTACAACTTCATTTGCCAACCCATTGTATGAGGATTTTAGCTCATCTAGGAAACAAGAGGTAGGTATACATTGCTAGTAATACATTTACAGAAATAAAATATGTCCAAACATATTTAAATGGTGTTGTTCAAATATGTTGCCCATTAAAAGGAAGAATGAAATCCCCAGCAAATATGTTTAAATAAAGAAAATATGGTTTAAAGTAGTACTGCATTTCTACCATCAGTTAGAGTAAGATGTCTGTTCATGTGTATTTTCAAGACATATTAGACTCCAGTTTGAAGGCATATACCGTAAATAACGTCTTTATGGCCACAGGTAATTTTCACCAAGGCCACAGTCTCATAAATGATGAACCTGAATAAAACCAATTTTAGTTACAAGAAATTTAATCAGATATTCAGAGCAGATTCCCATCCACTGTTATTCCCTATCTCCTTATGCTTCTGAAAATAATTAAAAGCATTCTGTGGATTCAGAGGTCTGCATTCAGCCCTCAATTATACATATACAATTCTACTAAATTTACTTAAATGTTTTGCTGTTCTCTCTGATGTTTTAAATATAATACTGCAGTTTTCATCATGACATTGCAAATACTGTAAAAAGCATATTGCTATTCAACAAAGAATTATGCAGATTATACACAGATTCATACTCTTTCCCTTAATCCCATTTGCTGAACATTACAAGGAGAATTTATTAGACTAATAAAACTTTGTGAATAAAATTAAATCTATAACACATTCATAAATTTAAAGATTTAGGAAGAAGAGATTAAAGGATCAAATTACAAAATGAACCAAATTCCTTTCTAAATTAGACAAAAACCACCCCATTGGTTTACAGTATAATAGCAATGCATGGTTTTTGTATCAACAGTTATTTATTGTTCAGAATAACTCAGATAAAGAACATGTACCAGGTACCTTGGAAGGAAAAGGAGCAAATTAAAATTTAAAGCATCTTCTCTGCTTCATTTTGGGACTACTCTTATCAGCACTATAGACTAGGCTTGCAATGACAAATAAAATTTTTCTCATCCTTTCTTCAGCAAGTAATATAAGATTCCACTGGAGTATTAAACAGGATTAACCATGACATGCCATTTACTTCTATAAAAGTTTCCTCTCATCTGATTATAGAGACATTAGATCAGATTCATTTACTTGCAGGTTTAGGCTTATAAGAGCTCTGTGTTGGAAATGTTCCCATTACAATCATGTCCATTTTATCTGGACACCTATATTTTAGTTGAAATACATTCTTGACAGGCTTCATTTAATAGCAAGTTGAAAAACAGAAGTGCAATGTCAGAAGAGATATTTTCCTAGTGGACAGGACAGCCCCAGGCACTGTGATTGAAGTCCAGTGCCGCACCAGATTTTCCCCTGTTTTCTTCAAGAATAGGTTGATATGTACTTTCAATAATTCTTTCTGTAAGAGGGAAAACAAGATACAGTCTTTTCCCAGAGCTTAAAGAACATTTAATGTGGGTGACTCATATCACCCTTCAGAAGATATTGCCACACTGTACCACTGTCAGTTGGTTTCAGACGAAGGCAACCAGGTAAAGCACATGATAAACTCATAGTTTCATAGTTTCTAGGGTCGGAAGGGACCTGAGCAGATCATCTAGTCTGACCCGCTGCCATGGCAGGAAAGAGTACTGGGGTCAAATGACCCCAGCAAGGTGTTCATCTAACCTCCTCTTAAAAAACCCCAGGGTAGGAGCCTGCACCACCTCTCTTGGAAGCTGGTTCCAGACCCTAGCTGCCCTGACCGTGAAATAGCGCCTCCTGATGTCCAACCTAAACCTACCCTCTGCCAGCTTGTGACCATTATTCCTGGTCACTCCTGACGGTGCTCGGGGGAACAGTGACTCCCCCAATGCCTGCTGCTCCCCCCTGACTAGTTTATAACAGGCCACAAGATCCCCCCTCAGCCTTCTCTTTTGAAGGCTGAACAGGTTCAGGTCC